TTGTGGTGAATGGAGGCTTTCTCGGCTGCCACGACGTAGGCGAAGTCGGTGGCCGTCTGCAAGGGGCTGGGGGGGATGATGTAGTCTTTCCCCCACGCGGCGACAGGCAGAAGCTGCTCGACCACATAGTCGCAGCCCGTGTTCACCTTCACGCAGCTGTGTCCGCTGAAGACAGCGACAGCGTTGTCTGACGTGATCTTGGTGCCGGACAAATCGTAGCTGCTTTGCAGTTGCAAGCTGTGGTAGCTGTCCAAGAAGACGCGGAGGGTGGACCCAGGCAAGTAATTCCTCCCTCTGTAATAAAACTTGCCCTTGGCGTTGATGGAAACGGTGGCCGGAGTCTTCCCAGCTGCCACAACAAACTCCTTCAAGCCTTCTTTTGTGGTGCCCTCCGGCGTCACCACGTAATAGCTGTTGCCCAACCTATCTGCCGGCAAAACAGCGGTGGCACCCACGGTGTAACTCTTGGTGTTGACAGAGACCACGGAGATCTCCTTGTCTGCCTGAATCACGATGGCTTTATCCGAAACCTGGCTGCCGACGAGCTGCATGTTCCCAGGCACGTGGAGCGAAACCGTCTTGCCCTTCCCGAGGGTGACGGTGTCGGTGAAGGTGCCGCTGGTCGCCATCACTGTCACGGTGGTGGAGTCAAAGTAAGCTGTGAAGAGGAGCTCGATGGTGGGGTAGATGCCTTCGTCATCGTTCTGAAGGAAGACAGTGAAGAATTCCCTGCCGCGGAACATTGCGGTGGAAAGACCTGGGAAAAGCAGGGAAAAAGGTTTTTTGGGGGTTGGTTCTGTTGGTTGTTTGTTTTTTTTTTCTTCTTTTGGCTGCAGAAATTATAGTAGAAATTTCTGCAAAAAAAAAAAAAAAAAAAGAATCAAGAAATAAGGCGTCTTCTTTTTTGGTACAGAAACTTGCAATAGGAAGATCTGCAAAAAAAAAGGAATCAATTTTTCAGCTGAAAAATCCTGCCATAGAACATTCTGGGGAAAAAAAAAAAAGGGGGAGGGGGAAATAATATTTTTTGCTGCAGAAACACAAAGTAGAAAGTTCTGAAGGAACGCAGAAATGAATTTTGCTGCAGGAATTGCAATAGAAGTTTCGGGCAATTAGGAATTAGGGAATAAGTTTGGGTTTTTTTTTTTTCTTGCAGAAATGTACAGTTCGGAAGTCTTGAAAAATGAAAATGGGGAATAAAAGCTTTTTGCTGCAGAAGTTACAATAGAAAGTGTGTGGGGGGGTGTGTGCGTTTTTTTTTTTTAAAGCACATAATAAAGTGGTTTTATTGCAGAAGTTGTAATAGAAAGGCCTGAAAAATAAAAATCAGGAATTTTGCAGAAGAAACCTGCAGAAAGTTTTGAGGGGAAAAAAAGGGGGGAAAATGTTTTTCAGGATGCAGAAATGGCAGCAGAAAGTTCTGAAAAAATTCCGTGGGAAATAATTTTTTTTTTTTTTTTTTTCTGCAGAAAGTTGGAGTAAAAAGTCTGAAAAACCAGGTACTAAGGGCTTTTGTTGCTGAGGGAAATAAAAATAAGAGTCTTTTGCTGGAAAAAAAAAATGGGGAATATAGGCTTTTTCTGAAAAGAAAGTGAGTAATAAGGGATTTTTGGTGAAAACAAAACAGGTTTTAAGGGCTTTTTGACGAAAAACTCCTAGGCAGTAAGGGTTTTTCTTTAAGAAACCAAACAAAACCTATCAAACCCACAGGCAATAAGGGCTTTTTTTCCTCTTTTTCCTTTCTTTCCTTTCTTTTTCCCCCTTCTTTTTTTTTTTTTTTTTTAAAGAAAACACACACCCAGGTGTGTGGCTGTTTCCTATTAAAAAAAAATATTTTTTTTCTTAAAAAAATACAGGTAATAAGGACTTTTTCTGAAACAATACCAAAAAAAGAAAAAACAGATAAGGTTTTGGTGAGAAACAGGTGATAGAGGTGGGTTTGGTTTGGGTTTTTTTTTTTTCTTTTTTGTAAAAAAGAACAGGTGAAAAGGCCTTTTTTTTTTTTTTCTCTCTGAGCAAACAGGTAATAAGGTATTGGTTTCTTTTTTCTGGGGGGGGAAAAACCCCAAATACCAAAGTATTATGGGCTTTTTAATGCTATAAACCCATGAGGGCCTAAGGGCTTTTTCTGGGGGGGAAAAAAAACAATCCACAACGCAAAATAGGTTAAAAAGAAAAAAAAAAAACCAAAAAACAACACACCAAAGATCTCCCACCAAACAGGTAATACGGGCTTTTTCTTTTTTTTAAATAATTAAAAACCTGCCAAACAACAGGGAATAATGGTATCTTGTATCATGAACAGGTGAGAAGTATTGGGTTTTTTTTAAAAAAAAAACCCAAAACCAGAGGGAACAAGGTTTTTTTCTTAAAAAAAACCTCTGACAAACCCGGGAATAAGAACTTTTTGCTCAAAACCCAACAGGTAATATGGATTTTTTTGGTGAAAAAAACCAGGAAATTAGGACTTCTGCTGGGGGTGGGGGGACCCAACCCAAAGAGGTGATAAAGGCTTTTTGCTAAAAAAACCAAAACCCCCCAAAAACCCAACACACCCACAACAAAACAGGGCATAAGGGGTATTTTTTGTGGAAAAAAACAGGTAATAAGGGCTTTTTTGGTAAAACCAGGAAATTTGGGCTTTTTTATTTTTCTCTCTTAAAGAAAAGAGGGAATAAAGGCACTTGGGTGAAAAAACAGTGACTAATGACGTTTGACTGGAAATTAAAACAAGTAATAATTGCATTTTTTTCTGAAAGAAAAGTAGCTAAAAAGGGGTTTTGCGGAAAAAGGAAGAGGTGATAGCGAAGGCTGGTGAAAAACCAGGAATTTATTTCCTAAATGGAAGGTGAAAAGGGCTTTGTCTTGTAAGGAAATTGTGAGAAAGGCTGGTTTTTGGGGCAAAAAAAGGTGGTAAAAAGGGCTTTTTGGGGCAAAAGAGCTGGTAATAGGGGCATTGGGGTGAAAGAAAACAGGTAATAACGACTTTTTGGTGGGGAGAAAAAAAGACAGCTAGGTGGTAAGGGCTTTTTTTCTGAAAGAAACAGGGAATAAAGACCTTTTTTTTTTCTTTTTCCTGGGGGTAAAAAACCCAAACCAGATAAGGACTTTTTTCTTAAAATAAAACCAAATAAAAGCACTTTTTCCTTAAAAAAAAAAAAAGAGACAGAGAGAGGCAATAAGGGCTTTCCCCGCCCCGTAAAAGAAAGGCCCAGTGTATAAGGGCTTTTTTTTCTCCTGGGAAAAAAATCCCAAACAGCTAATCAGATTTTTTTTTTACCTTCAAAAAAAAAAAAACCAAAACCAAACAGCAGCAAGTGTTTTTTTCTTTAAAAAATGAGGAAATAAGGGCTTTTATTCCTGGCCGGGGGGGGAAGGTGATAAAGGCTCTGTGCTAAAAAAAAAAAAAAAAAAGCAAGCAGGTGATAAGAACTTTCTGGTGGGGGGAAAAAAAAAATCAAGGGATGAGAGATTTTTGGTGAAAAGGCAAAGAGGTCATAAAATCTGTTTGCTGGGGGAAAATGAGGGAATAAGGGCAATTTTCTGCAAAACAAACAGGGAATAAGGACTTTTTGCTGCAGAAACCTGCAACCCCCCAAACCTGGGGAATTAGGGTTTTTTGGGGAGGGGATGGGGTTGTGTTTTTGCTCACCACAGAAGAGAGCCAGCCAGGCTGGGAGCCGCCACATCCTGCCCATCGCCATCGCTGGGGAAAAAAAAAAAAAAAAGCCCAAAAATATGAAAATGCACTTTTTTGGGGGGGACAAAATGCCACGCAGGGATGAGCCGGAGCCCAGAGAGGACCCAGGTAGCCCCAGCATCACCTCTTGGCCCAAAATCGTCCCAAAAGACTTTTTCTACCCCCTGGCAACTTCTTGCAACTCACTTTGGGTTGGGGCTGAATTCCCCCGATGACGCCCCAAGTGTCCTGTGGCCACCGCGGTCAACCCAACGATCCCCAAACCCTTCCTGATGCCACCTCGAAGACCCCCATCCTTCCCCCTACTGTCATCAAACCCTCCCAGTAACCTTCCGCAAAGCCTCCCAAGGATGAAATCCCCCCCCCTCCCCCCAAATTACCAAAATTCAGGGTGAAAAGGGGCCAAATTGCCAGGACCTCCCTCCCTCCCACCTTCTGGATGTTCTCAGAGATGCTGGTCCCCCACCGTCACTCAACATCTGTTGGCGTTAACACCCAGATTGTTGCATCCAGTGGGGATCTATGGCCTGGGTTGCATCAAAACCAACTCAACCTGGGCTTGGGGGAGAGAAAAATCCCTTTCTTATAGAATTTTATAGTCATTTTGACCCACCTGGGACACCTGCTTGGTGGGCCAAGGCATCATTGACACCTTGTTTTGCCCAGATGGGACATACCTGGGCTCATGCCCGAAAGGATGAGGAAAAACTTGAGGAAAAAAGCAAAGTAAGACCCCAACTCCCCACCACTTACCGGCGGGCTCCTTTCTGCCTCAGCGTCTCTCTTTGCTCTCCCTGAAGCCCATGGACACGTGAGGATGGGGGAAAAAAAACTGCAGGGTTGGTTCCAAAACCTCCCTTTTTATAACCAGATGGGGCTTATCTCTGTTTTCACGAGAATGTCATTGCACAGCTCCCCTCTGGGAGCAGCAGAGGGAATTGGCTCCGAAAAGGGCTGATTTGGGCTGATTGAGCAGAATCTCGTGAAAGGGGATGCAGAAGGGGCTGCCAAGTGTTGACACGGCCCAAGGAGGTCAGGTTGTGAAACTGCCCCCGAGTTCCTGAGAACTGGAGTTTCTGGTGCGTGTGGCGGAGCCAGGACATGAAAATGTGCAGCTGGTTTCCTTCACCTGCAACGCTTTCCTTGCAAAAAGTCTGCAGAGCATGCTGCGGGGGGTGCAGGTCCATAGGAGACATTGCCATGGGTGCAGAATCCAGAGGAGATGTTGCGATGGGTGCAGAACCCACAGGAGACATCGTGATGGGTGTAGGATCCACAGGAGACATTCTGATGGGTGCAGGATCCACAGGGGATGTTGTGATGGGTGCAGAATCCACAGGGGAGATGTTGTGATGGGTGCAGGACCCATAGGAGACGTTGTGATGGGTGCAGGACCCACAGAAGACTTTGTGATGGGTGCAGGATCCAGAGGAGATGTTGCGATGGATGCAGGACCCACAGGGGACTTTGCGATGGGTGCAGAACCCACAGGAGACGTTGTGGTGGGTGCAGGATCCACAGGGGATGTTGCAATGGATGTAGGATCCACAGGAGACATTGTGACGGGTGCAGAACCCACAGGAGACATTGTGATGGGTGCAGAATCAACAGGGGAGATGTTGCAATGGGTGCAGAACCCACAGGGGACATTGCAATGGGTGTAGGATCCACAGGAGACGTTTTGATGGATGCAGAACCCACAGGAGACATCGTGATGGGTGCAGGATCCACAGGGGAGACGTTGTGATGGGTGCAGGACCCACAGGAGATGTTGTGGTGGGCGCAGGACACACAGGGGAGGTTGCGATGGGTGCAGAACCCACAGGAGACATCGTGATGGGTGCAGGATCCACAGGAGACATTGCGATGGGTGCAGGACACACAGGGGACATTGCAATGGGTGCAGAAGCCAGAGGAGATGTTGCGATGGGTGCAGGATCCACAGGGGAGATGTTGCAATGGATGTAGGATCCACAGGAGTCATTGTGATGGGTGCAGAACCCACAGGGAACATTGCAATGGGTGCAGAATCCACAGGGGAGA